GTACAGTGACCGTTTGTTACACGAAACTGATGTTACAAAACTTGGGTACAGTGACCGTTTGTTACACGTAAATGATGTTACAAAACCTGGGTACAGTGACCGTTTGTTACACGAAACTGATGTTACAAAACCTGGGTACAGTGACCGTTTGTTACACGTAACTGATGTTACAAAACTTGGGTACAGTGACCGTTTGTTACACGTAACTGATGTTACAAAACTTGGGTACAGTGACCGTTTGTTACACGAAACTGATGTTACAAAACTTGGGTACAGTGACCGTTTGTTACACGTAAATGATGTTACAAAACCTGGGTACAGTGACCGTTTGTTACACGAAACTGATGTTACAAAACCTGGGTACAGTGACCGTTTGTTACACGTAACTGATGTTACAAAACTTGGGTACAGTGACCGTTTGTTACACGTAACTGATGTTACAAAACTTGGGTACAGTGACCGTTTGTTACACGAAACTGATGTTACAAAACTTGGGTACAGTGACCGTTTGTTACACGTAAATGATGTTACAAAACCTGGGTACAGTGACCGTTTGTTACACGAAACTGATGTTACAAAACCTGGGTACAGTGACCGTTTGTTACACGTAACTGATGTTACAAAACTTGGGTACAGTGACCGTTTGTTACACGTAACTGATGTTACAAAACTTGGGTACAGTGACCGTTTGTTACACGAAACTGATGTTACAAAACTTGGGTACAGTGACCGTTTGTTACACGTAAATGATGTTACAAAACCTGGGTACAGTGACCGTTTGTTACACGAAACTGATGTTACAAAACCTGGGTACAGTGACCGTTTGTTACACGTAACTGATGTTACAAAACTTGGGTACAGTGACCGTTTGTTACACGTAACTGATGTTACAAAACTTGGGTACAGTGACCGTTTGTTACACGAAACTGATGTTACAAAACTTGGGTACAGTGACCGTTTGTTACACGTAAATGATGTTACAAAACCTGGGTACAGTGACCGTTTGTTACACGAAACTGATGTTACAAAACCTGGGTACAGTGACCGTTTGTTACACGTAACTGATGTTACAAAACTTGGGTACAGTGACCGTTTGTTACACGTAACTGATGTTACAAAACTTGGGTACAGTGACCGTTTGTTACACGAAACTGATGTTACAAAACTTGGGTACAGTGACCGTTTGTTACACGTAAATGATGTTACAAAACCTGGGTACAGTGACCGTTTGTTACACGAAACTGATGTTACAAAACCTGGGTACAGTGACCGTTTGTTACACGTAACTGATGTTACAAAACTTGGGTACAGTGACCGTTTGTTACACGTAACTGATGTTACAAAACTTGGGTACAGTGACCGTTTGTTACACGAAACTGATGTTACAAAACTTGGGTACAGTGACCGTTTGTTACACGTAAATGATGTTACAAAACCTGGGTACAGTGACCGTTTGTTACACGAAACTGATGTTACAAAACCTGGGTACAGTGACCGTTTGTTACACGTAACTGATGTTACAAAACTTGGGTACAGTGACCGTTTGTTACACGTAACTGATGTTACAAAACTTGGGTACAGTGACCGTTTGTTACACGAAACTGATGTTACAAAACTTGGGTACAGTGACCGTTTGTTACACGTAAATGATGTTACAAAACTTGGGTACAGTGACCGTTTGTTACACGAAACTGATGTTACAAAACTTGGGTACAGTGACCGTTTGTGACACGTAAATGATGTTACAAAACCTGGGTACACTGACCGTTTGTTACACGAAACTGATGTTATAAAACCTGGGTACACTGACCATTTGTTACACGAAACTGATGTTACAAAACCTGGGTACAGTGACCGTTTGTTACACGTAAATGATGTTACAAAACTTGGGTACAGTAACCACTTATCAAGCGATTCACCTCTGTAATACAACCAACTTTCTAAAATGTGTGTTCCTTATAAAAGACAGCAAACTTCTTCATGAAGATAGTTTACAGATACCATCCTCATATTGTTTTGTACAATCGTTATTGTCAGGTTTCCTCATCATCTCTCCTTTATGACAATCTTGTAATTGTAAGCACAAAAACAAACAAATGCACTTGAAGCAGTAGATAACTTTTCTGCAGAATTGCAAAGCAAATATGTACCAGCACAATTTCCTTTTTGATTCTAAAGCTACACATACAACATATTGTTACTGAGAAACAATATGTGTGTAAAACATGTTACTATGGAAACAGGAAATATCGGGTTACTATCATTCATAAACAATTTGCTCTCTTTACTCTCTACCCACACACTTTTACAAGTTTATAATTGATTTAATAACTTAAAAAAAAACCACAAAAAATACTTCTTTATAGTGACAGTATAAAAACAGAGATAGACAATATTTATCAAGACCAGCTTAAGATTAAATATCACACATTTATATTATCCTAGGGTAACAATCATGTTTCAAATACTCCTCTATAAGGGCATCCTTGATATCCAGGGGTTACCCTTACTTTCGATCTCTGCACCCCTGGAATATGTCGCAGCAAAATCGAAGGCTCAGTGTGCACCGCCTTGTGGATGAGACGAGAAGACTAGTTTGATCCTTTGATGTACCTCAAAAGAATCTTGCTGTCGCGTAATGGTAAAACTCATTGGCATTGATTAAAGTTGGGCGTCGCTCCTCTGTAACCTTCAAAGGACAGGTATAAGCCTGGAGAATGACCAGTGTTTTTTTCACCCGAGACCAATCAAACAGCTTGTTCCAGGGTGCAGAGAGTTAGCAAGCGTAACCCCTGGATATCAAGGATGAGGTTGTAGTACATACGATACCATAATATAAATTGTAAATGCTTTGTATTTACAAGTGGCTAGCTTTACAAACACTTAGAAGTGATTGATAACAAATTATTTGAAGACGTATTATAAAAGAAAACTTGGTTACAGAGCTGTCAACACAGCAGTGTGATTTCTGTAAATCAATTAACAAACTCTTCACCTCAAACAAATTAATTCCTAACTCATCCTTTGTAAAACAATGATGTAGATGTCGTGAAGTGTTGCTGTAGAAACAAGTCCAACAACTCGTGACCATCGTTTATCACATTTATCTAACTCTTTTATATTTAATGTTCAAACTTTAAAAGAAAAACTTGCTGTAGTGCTGAGAAAAAATTGCACACTCCCAAATTCATGAAACCAGTATATGATTGATGTACATACTACAGCGATGCAGGTAAACTGGACACTCCCCACTCCATCAAAATCAAAAATAATCTAATTGTCTGGCTACTTCCCCCATCTTCGACTAGATCATCTCCCCTTAGTGTGAAACATCCAAGACATCAAAATTATTTAAGTCTCATTATTTTTCTGAATAATTCAATATTCTAGAGACAGGGGACAGTTTAATATAAATTCCAATAAAAAAGGCTTTCAAGTATCAACACAGAAAAACATATTCAGTACTAAACCAAGAGCAGTACAGGACATCTTTTACCCAGGTCTTTACAAATATGAGACAGAAGTTAAATATATATAAAATATAATCAGTGAGAATGCAGACGTATTGATTTATCTAAAACTTTCGGGTTTGATTGATTCACTCTGTGAGTATTTGTCATTTTGATAAATGAATAGTAAAATGCATTAAAACATTTTAAGTGTAACTCATTAAAATACTGTTTAAAAGAAACTCAATGAAATATATATGTTAATTTAAGTTTATTAAATATTGTTAAACTTCCATTCATAAAAATCATGTATATATAAGTTGAAATATAATGATGTTTTAACGTAATACTTACTGATATGTATATAATAGGAAAATAGAGGAGCTCGATAACACAACATCTGGCATGATTGGGCTTGTATATGATTGTGTCATGTTTTTGAGGTGACACACATATTAACCCTTTCACCCCTATGTAACTTTAATAGACTCTACCATGCATTGATCTGGATGAGTCCATTATGGTCTACAGTGGTGAAAGGGTTAATGCCTTTATCTTCTCTATTTTAGTTTTTGGTTAGAAAACAAGATGGTAAGGATGAATAAATACCGTGACTTTTTTTGTCAAATAGGACTGCATGAAATGAAGTGAAGTGAGGCTGGCGGAGGAGGATGGTCCATGGAAAAGAGATAGTTATACCAAGGGCCATAACTCTGTAGAAAGAGATACTTATAACAAGGGCCATAATTATGTAGAAAGAGATAGTTATACCAAGGGCCATAATTATGTAGAAAGAGATAGTTATACCAAGGGCCATAATTATGTAGAAAGAGATACTTATACCAAGGGCCATAACTCTGTAGAAAGAGATACTTATACCAAGAGCCATAACTCTGTAGAAAGAGGTGGCAACATTATGATAATAAGTAGTTTTACATGCACAGGTACATGTAGGTACATGATAATGATACGTTGTTTGCAATGTTTCCTAGAAATCCATCTTATACTGCAGGATCAGCTTTGACAAGGCTTATTTATTTGTCTACATAAATCAAAGACCATAATTTGTGCCTCAATATCAAAGGAGGACATACAAATGTACAGCAATCATGTGTGTAGAGGTTTATGTGATGGGACGGATGTATGCTAATGACATTAAAAATGGTATTTTGAGACCAGTTGTGTTGTTTTGTAAATAAATGCTGCTTTTGATTAAGTACATGCATTATTATGAAACAGCATGATAAAAATAGATGTTTGACATCAGTAAAAGGCACATGTGAAAGATTAATGAATTGTTTTGACTTTTCAGAATAGAAAGAATTAACTGTACGTTGTGTGTATGTTATGGTGGAATGCCTATAACTGCATGATTTGTAACTGTTGAACAGGATATATAATTTGGTCTTCTTGCTTTTGTGATTTATGTTATCCAGCATTTTTTTATCCTTGTGTTTATTTTCAACCACAATACTATTATGACAGTTAATTACTTATTAACCCTTTCACCCCTATGTAACTTTAGTAGACTCTACCATGCATTGATCTGGATTAGTCCATTATGGTCTACAGTGGTGAAAGGGTTAACATTATAATTTATATATATAAATGTACAAGAAACATCTTAGTGTGGACAATTTCTTTTCCTAAAACAATCTTTACACAATACTAATAGAACAAAATATACCAAAATGATCCAGATGAGGAGCACAATCAAAACATGACTGTCAAATTTTCATTTTTTTTTTATAAAAGCATACCTACAGTACCAGTAGAACTCTCACAGACAGAATACTAAAACTTATTTCACAAAAATGACAGTAATATTACACATTAAAAGACATACATTTAAAAGATATCCAAGACTAAAAACATGTATCACAATTTTGATTTGCCCACATTTATATTAATCAACATGATTTACACAGCGAGCCATGACTCAGATTATTTGTATATCACAATTTTAGCCATTTTAATTAAGATCACATTTTGTTTCCTCTGTCATTTATCATTTGATATCACATATATAGCCAGGCTTGTAAATGTATTATCACTTTTTAATGTACAAGGATCTTGCACACTTCCCCTTAAGTGATTAGAGTAGTATTATCCCACTTCTGCTTAACTAAACATGGTACATTCTCAATTTCCCGACATGTTATATCCCACTTTCCATTTACCTAACATGGTATATTCCGGATTTCCCTTTACCAAACGTGGTACAATCCCACTTTCCCTTAACATGGTAAATTCCATTTCCAGTTTCCCTTTTACCTAATATGGTATATCCCAATCCCCTTTTACCTAATATGGTATATCACAGATCAGATTTTGTTAATGCAGTAAACTCTGTATGGAGCGATCCATGCTTTTCTTCTCCATGGTTGTCATGGGGACAGGTGAGGCACATAGAAGAGTTCCACTTGAGTTTGAGCCGAAGCTACTATTGAGAGGCGATAAATGTATGCTTCTCGCATCACTCCTAGCAGAAGGAAGGGGACTCCGTGATCCGGAGTGTTGTGAACCGGAATGCATCGATAACCTTGACCCTGAGGACAAGGAAAAAATATCCGATCCACTGCCACCAAATCGGTCATGCTCATCCACTGTCAAAAACTGTGATGCATCGCTTAGACCACTCAGTCTACGAGATATTCCACTCTTTTCACTTAATCCACTTAGTCGGCGTTGCACACTCTGCCGAATCTTCTCTGAGGTCTCGGAATCAAACACCACAGGACTTGGTGAGAGATTTGGACTTGGTTGCTGTTGAATATTCTCACTGTAAAATGAATGCAATTCCCAGTAAGAATGTTTTATCACCATAATTTTTGAAATATTTGAACATGTACTGTGTAACCCAGATGTTTCTATATTACATTGTGGTACAGAAACATTAATCAATCAATTAGCTTCTATCACAAGTATTCAAAGGTTACAGCCTGGATAAGCAACATATTAATTTGACATCTGATGACTTGCTGTGATCTTGAACTTTTGGGTCAGAACCTCAGATATGCACATGACAGTCTCTTGCTACGATGCAGCCATCTATACATTCATAAAAATGTTTGGAGTGTAAACCTACAAGTGGTACTGAAAACACTGTTCAGTCATGATTAATCGTTAATGCAGTACCCCCCACCCCCACCCAAAAAACCTAAAAGACTATTCAGTCATTTATAAATAATCACCAAGGTCAACAATAAAGACTTGAACTATTCTATGACCTTTGACCTTGGGGTTACCGATTTGCAGGAGACACAGCATCCAGTCATGATACATCCATCAATGCTATTTCATAAAATGGGTTCAGGAGTTATTTACCAAACCATTAACCTTTTTTCATGACCTTGACCTTTGGGGTGCTGACCTGACATACTCTCTAATCATACTATTTGTCATCCATCTCTTACTTTTATCAAAATATAATCTGCTGTGATTTACAAGGTATATCTAAATTCAAACAATTCCTTTATGGGCTATATTTGATGGTAGGTATATATAAACCCAGGTATATACATACTCAGAGGGCCACAGTTTGATGGTGGGTGGCGGCGTGGGAGACCTCTTCTGTTTATCGGCATGTCGTCCTCGGTAACCAGCTGAAGTTCAATAATTTTACAATAAGTTCATACTGAAATCCTATCATCTTCAAGGTTTATTTTTATAACTATCAATGGCAATGTGGTTAAGACAGTAGCTATAAGTCATGATAACTAGTGATAAACTTCAATCAAATCAGGAAGTAAACACACTTTCGCAATTTTGCTTTTTGATCTAATTTGTAGATTTTACATTTTAATTAGTAATACTAGAATTTATCAACCATCTTAACAAACTATCTACATGAATGGCAACAAATTTTCATGGTTCATATTTTGAATATTTATTCTTGACTCGTGCAATTTAAGAAGAAAAACATTGCATACAAAAAGTTGAATACTATGTGCTGTGCTATTCTCGGGTATAGTTTCTCGTGAGTTTCACCTGTTCCTTTTACTTACAAGTGAGATGTGAGGAACATAAACTAACAAGGAGATTTCAAAGAAATTTCATGAAAATTTTATTTTGCTTGCAAAATTATTTGCAATTCAAAGTCAGGATTCAGACAAATTTAGTTCCTGGAAACATTGACCTCTTGAAATTTGACCACTACTGTGAAATCACTAATTTTCTTGGGGTTTTTGATTTCGCTTTTCATCCACAAATTCATAGGACCACAAAGTAATTATGAGTTTTGACATAAAGCAATTCTCCGTTTGAGTGGGTAATTGTAATCCACTAATTTATGTACCCACAAAAGGTGTTTTGTCAGAAAACCATGAAATTTGGGCCCCACAAAAATATCTGATTTCACAGTATATGGTCCAGGAATTAAATTAGATGTGAATGGTTAACAGCCAAAAATTACTGATATAAATACATTGTATAATCAATGGCAGTGTGACCTCAAACTGCAAGGTGACTGATTTTTGTGTACATCTAGTTGACTTGCTTGTTATATATCTGTTACTTTACCTGGAGATGTGGGTGCTGCCATTCGCATAGGTATGGGTACCGGAGATGGAGGCATACGGAGTGGAGCTAAATCTTCCTGCTTCTTCCTGGTCGGTGGATGTTTAGGCAGGGCATGTCCTAGCACGGTGGTAGAGAGAGGCGACAGACGAGGAGACATGACGGGAGGTAAGTTGGGAGAGACAGGCACTCCAATCGCCTGTGTCGTCATGTACGACGGATGTGGTACAGGGATGTGGAGGGGTTCCGGGTGCGGACTCTGTAACCAAAGAAATCCACACTTTTCATAGAAAATATACTGCTGCATTAGGGTATGATTTAGTACAGGTAACTACAGTTATGTTATGCATGTAAAAATAAAGGACAATTGATTGCCATGCTAACAAGGCAATTTAAAACAATTATTTCTGTTATCATTAGATTGTCATAAGTACAAGAATCTATCTTTCCTGTGTGGTGCAGACATCCTAAGGGAAATATTATTAAGTTAAGTACAATCGAGGCTTTGCCAAGTGCTTAACTTCAACAACTTTGTCCCAAGGGTTATATTTCTTTGTCAAAGGAGTGGTCGATTTCTTTTCTCCCAAACCATACTACCATGAAAATATGTTCTAAGGGTAAATCTGAGACACTGTGACATCATCAAGGGTGCATGAAATGGGTGACAAAATTATTGACGTTACCGTGGTTACACTGCATAAAGTGGTGACATGATGGTGGCTTTTTGAGAATAATGGAGCAAGTGAGTTTCAAGTCTTTCCATAAGCAGGTAAAACTATAGGAATGCACCTGTGATGTGTGGGAGACTAGACTCATCACTACACTGTTGACATTACATTATTAAATCACTAGACTTTAATATTAGCTAACTATTCCAATCTTTGAATTGGAGGATTTCAAATGTGTCTTCAGAGGTGAATGAGTTAATATTATTTTCAGACTGTTGACATTACATTATTAATGTAATCACTAGACTTGAATATTAGCTTCAGACTGTTGACATTACATTATTAATGTCATCACTAGACTTTGATATTAGCTTGAGAATGTTGACACTACATTATTAATGTCATCACTAGACTTTAATATTAGCTTCAGACTGTTGACATTACATTATTAATGTCATCACTAGACTTTAATATTAGCTTCAGACTGTTGACACTACATTATTAATGTCATCACTAGACTTTGATATTAGCTTCAGACTGTTGACATTACATTATTAATATCATCACTAGACTTTATTATTAGCTTCAGACTGTTGACATTACATTATTAATGTAATCACTAGACTTTAATATTAGCTTCAGACTCTCATCACAATACTGTACACTAGACTGTAAGTATAAATTCTCAGAGATTCTCTTTTGATACATAACACAACTCAATTAATAGTTCCTCAATCCAATCCTAACATAAGTAAGCTTTTCTTTAAAAGGATCTAGTCTTACCTTCCTCGCGGATTTCCTGTTTTTCCTTCGTTGTTTTGGTGACAGATCTGCATCCAAATCGGTGACAGTAGAAAGCACTATTTTAGGGACGACCATTGGGCGTGGAGGAGAGCCCTTGGGTGGGGAATTATCACTATCACTACTGTCTTTTTCACGGTGGATCATTGCGTGCTCGACAATCAGCGAGGGCATTGGTGATCTCAATGACATTGCACTTCTGATTTGTGACCTTGCACTTGCTATAGGTCGTCCATAGCTACCGTCGTCCTCGTCGGGTTGACTAACAGTTAAAATAGGAATAGGGATAGTCATCGTTCTTCTCACCACAGGTTTCTGCAAGGTTCCTCGGTGAAGAGTTGTCTCCCTTTGGATTGGTAAATGATTAAAGATTGTCTCGTTTGGATTAGGTGAATGACTGAGTAGGGTCTTTTCCTGAGTTGACCTATTGGTTAGCCTCTCGGTTCGAAGTTCAATGGAATTTTTTCTGACCCTTGACCTACCACTTTTGTCTCTAGAGCTAGCACTGTCAGGTACTAACGTTTTCATTTCTATAGAATCACTAGTGTTAGTTGTGTCTGATGTGGGAGTCCCTGTGCTCTTTTTATGACGAGGTCGGAACAGATCTTTTAACTTCCATATTGGGTTTCGTACTGATCCCTTGCGAGTTGAATTGTTGTCTATTGTTCGTTTCCATGGTTTGGTCTTCGATTCCTTAACTGAATTGGGTTTAATTCCCATGGCTTTTTCTAACAGAGCTTGACATTCTGAAATATAATACAATTTTACATTTGACTTTTAAACTCAGACTGAATTCAGTGTACACTATGTATGATATTTACAATTTAAAGCCCAATCCTTTAACATGAAAAACGATTGGGTGTTATTAGAACCATTCTTAACATTTACATAAAGCAAAAAAAAGATAAAACGTGTCAATTACAACCAGACAGGGGTACATCCCACTTTCAATGCTATAAGCTACATGTTAAAAGTAATAAATTACAACAAGTACACATATATGACAAACTTGGCCCTGAATAAAACAAATAAGTACCGGGGGTATATGTACTGTATCTGATCAATGTCTTTCTTTTAAATCTTGTTTCAAATATACCTTTCATACAAAAAAAAAGACTTCTACATCGCACGACTTTTGTAAAAAAAAAATATACCTTATTTGTGCAAGTCATGTTAGACTACAAAAATGGGATACAACCTACATGTACTATTTAAACATCAGTACCAATGATCTGGAATAAGATTTAATCAAACACTTTCACAGTAAAGATAAGATCCCAACCTTTGTGACCTGATTGCTGAGCGTAATCAAGTGGTGTACCGCCCTCAATGTCGACAGGACTAGGGATGACCTTCAGACGCAGCAGCAGAGATACACAGCTGACATGACCCATGGCTGTGGCCCAATGTAAAGGTGTCCTGTTTTGTTAAGGTAATCAACAGTTAGTCATTATAACAACCGTCACGGGGTACACAGGTGACAGACAAACTGAGGTAAGATATGTGACAATTGAAAAGGACAGAAGGGTCAGCACACCTGTGATGATTGAGGTGAGATATGTGATGATTGAGGTGAGATATGTGATGATTGAGGTGAGATATGTGATGATTGAGGTGAGATATGTGATGATTGAGGTGAGATATGTGATGATTGAGGTGAGATATGTGATGATTGAGGTGAGATATGTGATGATTGAGGTGAGATATGTGATGATTGAGGTGAGATATGTGATGATTGAGGTGAGATATGTGATGATTGAGGTGAGATATGTGATGATTGAGGTGAGATATGTGATGATTGAGGTGAGATATGTGATGATTGAGGTGAGATATGTGATGATTGAGGTGAGATATGTGATGATTGAGGTGAGATATGTGATGATTGAGGTGAGATATGTGATGATTGAGGTGAGATATGTGATGATTGAGGTGAGATATGTGATGATTGAGGTGAGATATGTGATGATTGAGGTGAGATATGTGATGATTGAGGTGAGATATGTGATGATTGAGGTGAGATATGTGATGATTGAGGTGAGATATGTGATGATTGAGGTGAGATATGTGATGATTGAGGTGAGATATGTGATGATTGAGGTGAGATATGTGATGATTGAGGTGAGATATGTGATGATTGAGGTGAGATATGTGATGATTGAGGTGAGATATGTGATGATTGAGGTGAGATATGTGATGATTGAGGTGAGATATGTGATGATTGAGAAAGCAGTATAGAGGGCAGACCTGTGACAATTGAGTTGATGTATCACACCTGTGAAAAATTAGGGGAGAAAGGGGATTTCCACCTTTAAGAGGGAGAGAAAGGAATAAAACTTGGGATAATTGAGGGTAGGGATAAAACAGATGCCTGCATAATTTAGGGAGAGAGAAGAGAGATATCCATGTGATAACTAAGGTGAGGGTGTCAAATATGTAATAGTTGGGGGGAAGAGAATGGAGCCACACTAGTGATGACTAAAAGTGAGGGAAATACCAATACCTGTTATAAATGAGGGTGAGGGAAGGAAACCACACCTGTTATAAATGAGAGTGAGGGAAGAAACCACACCTGTTATAAATGAGGGTGAGGAAAAGGAACCACATCTGTTGTTATAAATGAGGGTGAGGGAAGGAAACCACACCTGTTATAAATGAGGGTGAGGAAAGGAAACCACACCTGTTATAAATGAGAGTGAGGGAAGAAACCACACCTGTTATAAATGAGGGTGAGGAAAAGGAACCACATCTGTTATAAATGAGAGTGAAAGAAGGAAACCACACCTGTTATAAATGAGAGTGAGGGAAGGAAACCACACCTGTTATAAATGAGGATGAGGAAAAGGAACCACATCTGTTATAAATGAGGGTGAGGGAAGGAAACCACACCTGTTATTAATGAGAGTGAGGGAAGGAAACCACACCTGTTATAAATGAGGGTGAGGGAAGGAAACCACCCCTGTTATAAATGAGGGTGAGGGAAGGAAACCACTCCTGTTATAAATGAGGGTGAGGAAAGGAAACAACCCCTGTTATAAATGAGAGTGAGGGAAGAAACCACACCTGTTATAAATGAGGGTGAGGAAAGGAAACCACACCTGTTATAAATGAGAGTGAGGGAAGGGAACCACTCCTGTTATAAATGAGTGAGGGAAGGGAACCACACCTGTTATAAATGAGTGAGGGGAGGGAACCACACCTGTTATAAATGAGAGTGAGGGAAGGAACCCACACCTGTTATAAATGAGGATGAGGAAAAGGAACCACATCTCTTATAAATGAGGGTGAGGGAAGGAAACCACACCTGTTATAAATGAGGATGAGGGAAGGAAACCACACTTGTTATAAATGAGGGTGAGGGAAGGAAACCACTCTTGTTATAAATGAGGGTGAGGGAAGGAAACCACACCTGTTATTAATGAGAGTGAGGGAAGGAAACCACCCCTGTTATAAATGAGTGAGGGAAGGGAACCCCACCTGTTATAAATGAGGGTGAGGGAAGGAAACCCCACCTGTTATAAATGGGGGTGAGGGAAGGGAACCACACCTGTTATAAATGAGGGAGAGGGAAGGAAACCACACCTGTTATAAATGAGGGTGAGGAAAGGAAACCACACCTGTTATAAATGAGAGTGAGGGAAGGGAACCACACCTGTTATGAATGAGAGTGAGGGAAGGGAACCACACCTGTTATAAATGAGAGTGAGGGAAGAGAACCACACCTGTTATAAATGAGGGTGAGGGAAGGGAACCACACCTGTGAAAGATATGGGGGAGGGAAAGGAACCACATCTGTGATAGATGTGGGGGAGGGAAGGGAACCACACCTGTGATAGATGTGGTGGAGGGAAGGGAACCACATCTGTGATAGATGTGGGGTAGGAAAGGGAACCACATCTGTGATAGATGTGGTGGAGGGAAGGGAACCACACCTGTGATAGATGTGGGGGGAGGGAAGGGAACCACACCTGTGATAGATGTGGGGGAAGGAAAGGAACCACACCTGTGATAGATGTGGGGGGGGGGAGGGAACCACACTTGTGATAGATGTGGGGGAGTGAAGGGAACCACATCTTTGAAAGATGTGGGGGGAGGGAATCACACATGTGATAGATGTTGGGGACGGAAGGGAACCCCACCTGTGATAGATGTTGCTGAGGGAAGGGAACCACACCTGTGGTAGATATTGGGGAAGGGAAGGGAACAACACCTGTAATAGATGTGGGGGAGGGAAGGGAACCACACCTGTGATAGATGTGGGGGAGGGAAGGTAACCACACCTGTGATAGACGTGGGGGAAGGAAAGGAACCACACCTGTGATAGATGTGGGGGAGGGAAGGGAACCACACCTGTGATAGATTAGGCGGGAGGGAAGGGAACCACATCTGTAATAGATGTGGGGGAGGGAAGGAAACCACACCTATGATAGATGTGGGGGAGGGAAGGGAACCAACTCTGTGATAGATGTAGGGTAGGGAAGGAAACCACACCTGTGATAGATGTGGGGGAGGGAAGAGAACCACACCTGTGATAGATGTGGGGGAGGGAAGGTAACCACATCTGTGATAGATGTGGGGGAGGGAAGGGAACCAACTCTGTGATAGATGTAGGGTAGGGAAGGAAACCACACCTATGATAGATGTGGGGGAGGGAAGGTAACCACACCTGTGGTAGATGTTGGGAAGGGAAGGGAACCACCTCTGTGATAGATGTAGGGTAGGGAAGGAAACCACACCTATGTTAGATGTGGGGGAGGGAAGGTAACCACGCCTGTGATAGATGTGGGGGAGGGAAGGTAGCCACATCTGTGATAGATGTGGGGGAGGCAAGGGAACCAACTCTGTGATAGATGTAGGGTAGGGAAGGAAACCACACCTGTGATAGATGTGGGGGAGGGAAGTGAACCACACCTGTGATAGATGTGGTGTAGGGAAGGGAACCACACCTGTGATAGATTAGGCGGGAGGGAAGGGAACCACACCTGTGATAGATGTTGGGAAGTGAAGGGAACCACATCTGTGATAGATGTGGGGTAGGGAAGGGAACCACACCTATGATAGATGTGGGGGAGGGAGGTAACCACACCTGTGATAGATGTTGGGAAGTGAAGGGAACCACATCTGTGATAGATGTGGGGTAGGGAAGGGAACCACACCTATGATAGATGTGGGGGATGGAAGGTAACCACACCTGTGATAGATGTTGGGAAGTGAAGGGAACCACATCTGTGATAGATGTGGGGTAGGGAAGGGAACCACACCTGTGATAGATGTGGTGGAGGGAAGGGAACCACATCTGTGATAGATGTGGGGTAGGGAAGGGAACCACACCTGTGATAGATGTGGTGGAGGGAAGGGAACCACACCTGTGATTGATGTAGGGGAGGGAAGGGAACCACATATGTGATAGATGTAGGGGAAGGAAGGGAACAACACCTGTGATAGATATTGGGTAGGGATGGGAACCACACCTGTGATAGATATTGGGGGAGGGAAGGGAACCACATCTGTGATAAATGTAGGGGATGGAAAGGAGCTTCACTTGTGAGAAGGTAAAACACCTATGATAATAGAGGGGAAGGGAAGGATGACACACCTATGACAACAGAGCAGAGAGGAAGAAAGAAACCACACCTGAGAGTATCTAGGATAAGGTTAAGTTAGGAAATCACCTGTCATCTGGATCTTCACACTCCAGTTCACATCCTGTGAGTTTGGCGAGTTCCTCCAGAATGTTGACGTTACCAGCAGCAGCAGCATAGTGAACGGCGGTCTTGCCTGAGGAGTCGGGGATGTTGACAAACCGCTGATTTTTGGCACAATGTATAAGTACATGACAGCTCCCAATACTTCCTTTCTGTAAATCAACATTTCACTGGTGTGTCAAAACTTATGTTATCTTACAACAGCAGATATCTTTCTTGATTTATATCTAATCTAAAATTCAGTTTCTGGAGTTTTTGAATAAAAGAAGCATTTCATTTGTATGATTCTCAGCTAAATGGAACCAAATTATCTACAAAATACCCTTACTTTATGAACAAGAATATAATTTATCATAATCAAGATTAATTATTGTTACAATTCACTTTAGGTACTCTATACTTGTTGAGTAGATTATTCAACAGTGATGTATATTTTCTGGGGGTTTATTACACTTGTACCAATATACTGATACAGTAACAATGTTATTGTGTTCTGACCTGTGCAGCCCAGTGGAGGGCAGTCTTGTTGTCCACATCTTGACACGTCATGTCACCTCCATGCATGATCAACATCTGGACATGATCCGGACGGTCATGGAAGGCGGCCCAGTGTAATGGCGTCATTTTCTGCCAAGAAATCGTTTGATCATTTCTCTGACTGCATACGTAATATCTTGAGTAACAAGTTATATTTTGGTCTATCTGTCATTTTTGTGTCAACATAAAAACAGTTATACTTTCAGCAACAAAATGTCAATTTGAATTTCTAAAATTTAGGGAGCTAATGTGCATTATATATTTGGTCCGAGTGACCTTGAGAGTAAATTAAGGTCATTTATATTAAGAAATGTACTCCACATCCTCCACTCAATTCCAAGGTACACAATGTATTATGGCTCAATATCATGATCCTGTGCTTTATGGAACTTAAGACGATTTTCTTTATGGAACTGAAGAAAACGTTTGATAGCATTTGACCTGGGGGGGCAGCCCCTGACCTGGGGGTCATTTGTAAAGTTACCTCATTGTCCGGCTGGTTCACCTCCTGCCCTGTCAGGGTCTGTAGCAAGGCACCAATAATTCTGTAACATAAACCCAGCTATGTTAAAGGACTGGTTCTATGATGTAAATGATCGTTCCCTCATTTATAACAAATGTTGCCTACTAATTGAAGTACCTTGAAGTGTATCTGATTTATTATGGCATACTATGTAAATACCTAATTTCTTTTATAATCAAATACGGAAAGTGCATCTTTCCTGCAAAGGGCAAAAGTTTGACTATAGGCAAAGGTTTCCCATGATACAGCAATTTGTAAGGTCCCCTGGGTTTGTAATAAACATGTTTACTGTAACAATTAATCATTTAGGTCCCCTGGGGTTGTTATGAACATGCTACACTTCACTGTTTCAAATGCTATAAAAAACATTTCAGAGCAATTTGGTTCAGCTGTCAGAATAAGAGTCCCAGAGGGTTTGAATCACTCACCTGAATATTAATAAGCATTAATCATGGTAAAATATTCTTATTCAAACAATATCGCAAATTAGTCTGCACAGGTGCCCAGGATTAATCGTTGTCTGTACTTTAAGTACGCAACTATATATATTGTTGAAGGGGAGGGATCTTAACTATTTCATTTCTACGTCAGGACCATGAAGAACTAGATAATTAGTACAAAGGGCCAGGACCAGATCCTGGGGCCAATTTTGATATCAACATTTTGTCTGACTCTCCTGGCCTGTATCAATTCTCACCTGAGGTCTTTATCATAGGTACATGCATGTAGGGGAGTTCTCCCTGATTTATCAGCGATGCTCTGTCTAGCACCTTTCCTCAGGAGGTACATTACCCCATCATACCAGCCCTGTAACACAAACAAGAGGTTCAATGGGCCTGTAAACAACACATCATACCAGCCCTGTAACACAAACAAGAGGTTTAACAGGCCTGTAAATAACAAATCATACCAGCCCTGTAACACAAACAAGAGGTTCAACAGGTCTGTAAATGATACATCATATCAGCCCTGTAACACAAACAACAGGTTCAATGGGCCTGTAAATAAAACATCATACCAGCCCTGTAACACTAACATGAGGTCCAATCCACCATACAACTCAAACAAGTGGGTACTCAAAAAGGTTGAATGGGCCTGTACAGTACACATTAACCTTGCCCTAAACATAAACACCACAGACATCCAAGGGCTTGTACTTATCACATCATACAAGTCCTACAACATAAAAATAGGTTGAATGGGTTTTTAGATAACTTAAGCAACACGAGGTTCAATGGACCTGCAGATAACTTCACCAATAAGTGGTTCAATGGGCCTGTAAATAACTTCACCAACAAGAGGTTTAATAGGCCTGTACATAATTTCAACGACAAGTGGTTTAATGGGCCTACAGATAGCTTCATCAACAAGTGGTTCAAAGGACCTGTACATAACTTCATCAACAAGTGGTTCAATGGGCCTACATATAGCTTCACCAACAAGTGGTTCAAAGGACCTGCAGATAGCTTCATCAACAAGTGGTTCAAAGGGCCTGTACATAACTTCACCAACAAGTGGTTCAATGGGCCTACATATAGCTTCACCAACAAGTGGTTCAATGGGCCTGCAGATAGCTTCATCAACAAGTGGTTCAAAGGGCCTGTATATAACTTCACCAACAAGAAGTTTAATGGGCCTGCAGATAGCTTCATCAACAAGTGGTTCAAAGGACTTGTACATAACTTCATCAACAAGTGGTTCAAAGGGCCTGTACATAACTTCACCAACAAGTGGTTCAATGGGCCTACATATAGCTTCATCAACAAGTGGTTCAAAGGACATGTATATAACTTCACCAACAAGTGGTTCAATGGGCCTGCAGATAGCTTCATCAACAAGTGGTTCAAAGGTCCTGTACATAACTTCAACAACAAGTGGTTCAAAGGGCCTGTATATAACTTCACCAACAAGTGGTTCAATGGGCCTACATATAGCTTCACCAACAAGTGGTTCAAAGGACCTATATATAACTTCACCAACAAGTGGTTCAATGGGCCTACATATAGCTTCATCAACAAGTGGGTCAAAGGACATGTATATAACTTCACCAACAAGTGGATCAATGGGCCTGCAGATAGCTTCATCAACAAGTGGTTCAAAGGACCTGTATATAACTTCACCAACAAGTGGTTTAATGGGCCTGCAGATAGCTTCATCAACAAGTGGTTCAAAGGACCTGTACATCCCTTCATCAACAAGTGGTTCAATGGGCCTGTAAATAACTTCGCCAACAAGTGGTTCAATGGGCCTGTAAATAACTTCGCCAACAAGTGGTTCAATGGGCCTGTAAATAACTTCGCCAACAAGTGGTTCAATGGGCCTGTAGATAGCTTCATCAACAAGTGGGTCAAAGGACCTGTACATAACTTCATCAACAAGTGCTTCAAAGGACCTGTACATACCTTCAGCAACAAGTGGTTCAAAGGACCTGTACATGACTTCACCAACAAGGGGTTCAATGGACCTGTATATAACTTCACCGACAAGTGATTCAATGGGCCTGCAGATAGCTTCATAAACAAGTGGTTCAAAGGACCTGTACATGACTTGACCAACAAGTGGTTCAATGGACCTGTAAATAACCTCACCAACAAGTGGTTCAATGGGCATGCAGATAGCTTCATCAACAAATGGTTCAAAGGACCTGTACATGACTTCACCAACAAGGGGTTCAATGGACCTGTATATAACTTCACCAACAATTGGTTCAATGGGCCTGCAGATTGCTTCATCAACAAGTGGTTCAAACGCCCTGTACATGACTTCACCAACAAGGGGTTCAATGGACCTGTATATAACTTCATCAACAAGTGGTTCAATGGACCTGTAGATAACTTCCCTAACAAGTGGTTCAATGGGCCTACATATAGCTTCACCAACAAGTGGTTCAAAGGACCTGCAGATAGCTTCATCAACAAATGGTTCAAAGGACCTGTACATGACTTCACCAACAAGGGGTTCAATGGACCTGTATATAACTTCACCAACAAGTGGGTCAATGGACCTGTAAATAACTTCCCCAACAAGTGGTTCAATGGGCATGCAGATAGCTTCATCAACAAATGGTTCAAAGGACCTGTACATAACTTCATCAACAAATAGTTCAAAAGACCTGTACATAACTTCACCAGCAAGTGGTTCAATGGACCTGTAGATAACTTCCCTAACAAGTGGTTCAATGGGCCTGTAAATAACTTCGCCAACAAGTGGTTCAATGGGCATGCAGATAGCTTCATCAACAAATGGTTCAAAGGACCTGTACATGACTTCATCAACAAGTGGTTCAAAGAACCTGTACATACCTTCATCAACGAGTGGTTCAAAGGACCTGTACATGACTTCATCAACAAGTGGTTCAAAGGACCTGTACATGACTTCACCAACAAGTGGTTCAATGGACCTGTACATAACTTCACCAACAAGTGGTTCAATGGACCTGTAAATAACTTCACCAACAAGTGGTTCAATGGACCTGTAAATAACTTCGCCAACAAGTGGTTCAATGGCCCTGTAAATAACTTCACCAACAAGCGGTTCAATGGGCCTGCAGATAGCTTCATCAACGAGTGGTTCAAAGGACCTGTACATACCTTCACCAACAAGTGGTTCAAAGGACCTGTACATGACTTGACCAACAAGTGGTTCAATGGGCGTGCAGATAGCTTCATCAACGAGTGGTTCAAAGGACCTGTACATACTTTCACCAACAAGGGGTTCAATGGACCTGTACATAACTTCACCAACAAGAGGTTCAATGGACCTGTACATAACTTCACCAACAAGTGGTTCAATGGACCTGTAAATAACTTCACCAACAAGTGGTTCAATAGGCCTGTAAATAAAACATCATACCAGCCCTGTAACACTAACATGAGGTCCAATCCACCATACAACTCAAACAAGTGGGTATTCAAAAAGGTTGAATGGGCCTGTACAGTACACATTAACCTTGCCCTAAACATAAACACCACAGACATCCAAGGGCTTGTACTTATCACATCATACAAGTCCTACAACATAAAAATAGGTTGAATGGGTTTTTAGTTAACTTAAGCAACACAAGGTTCAATGGACCTGCAGATAACTTCACCAATAAGTGGTTCAATGGGCCTGTAAATAACTTCACCAACAAGTGGTTCAATGGACCTGTAGATAACTTCCCTAACAAGAGGTTCAATGGGCCTGCAGATAACTTCACCAACAAGTGGTTCAGTTGGCCTGTAGATAACTTCAACATCAACCAGCCTGATTGTGACTCTCTCATCCCCACAAAGTCAAACACTAAATTTATACAACATCAAATTCTCTTTACCAGGAGCATGTTTCTTGGTAGGTTTCGATCTTACACTACATGCTTGAGGAGTAGTCATAAAAGAAATATTTCCATCTTTTACTAATTGGACCCTCCCCAGCATAACAATATACAGCATGCAATAACACGTTACTGTAGACATACAAATCATATTTGTATGTAATTAATGTTATGTGGTTTTCTATTTATGTATAAAAATGACTATCAAAGTTCAAGAATACGGAAATTGAAGCTTATACAAGGTAATGGCCTCATTATTTGCCATCGCATGACATACGATAATGACTGTTAGCACAGTATTGTTAACCATCTAGACATGTGGTCATGACTTAGTGTGTGTGATAGTGGGCGTCGTAAGGATGTGATGGCAGCCACACGATAATTACCGCTGATATACAAGGACTTGTTGCCATGGTGATAAGTGTACTTATTAATTACCTATACACACTAAACATTGTTTTGTATATCGTTATTTTCTCTAAATGTATTTACTATTTTCACCACAGACAATGTTATTTATTTGGGGAAGATTTTGAAGGTTGTAGAGAATGGCTAAATTGGAAAAATATTTAAAAAGCAATTAAAAAGGAATAAATATGGAATATACATTTAATCTACAATAAGAAAAAAGAATACAGATTGGTACCTTGGCAATATAACTACCTTCATTCCCAGCTAAACTGGCTGAGAATGAGATGGCTGAATCACATGGAAATTTTGTATTTAAGCATATATACAAGACTGATCAGTCCCCTGAAATACTAGATTGACAAAACGACAACAGTAATAGTGGTAACTTCATTAACAATTAGTGCTGACTGTGTTATATAATTCCCAAATAAACCATATTAGTGACAAAAACACACACCTGGTACGCAGCAGTAGAGAGACAGGTACGTCCCTGTCCATCACGGGAATTCACATCGGCTCCCATTTTTATGAGACGCTTCACAGCGCCCAGCTGTTCTGAACGCACAGCATGTGACAACGGGGTAAACCCTATAACAAAAAAGGAGCAAATGAACAACACATAACACATATAAAGATTTTAATGGGGGATATACTGGTAAACACTATAAGACAGTGGTACTAGAGGGATTATAACTGTCTACATCCTCCTGTTCTATTACACTAGGATCCTCTATTGATGGAGATATAAACACTGTAAGACAGTGGTACTAGAGGGATTATATTTTACCGTCCACATCCTCTTGTTCTATTACACTAGGATCCTTCTGTATGGCCTGTATCAGCAGGGTGTTATCTCCGTTAGCGGCGGCTTGGTGAGCAAGGTATAAGTCTTCCGAGTCCGAGTCTGCCTCTACAACACACAAGAACATTTTTTTAAAGAACAATCGAAAAAGCCAGGCTATTTGATCAAATTTAATTATGTTTGGCAAAGTTATTTTTTTTCAATTATCTACCCTTCAAAGAAAATCAGTGATTGACCTCCTCAAGGTATGTTTCTATGTGTTTTAATTAATTTTACTTTATTTCATAATTACAAACATAAGATACTTAATCTTACACAGATAATCAATACTGTTACCTAAGCTGTCTGGGAGTCAAACCTGAGCCTACCATCATGCTGTGCCTCAAATTCTGTCATGATGTAGGCCTGATGGTTAATTAGGGAGGGTAAAGGAATAGCCTAGCTTACAGTAGGTGTAAATATTAATGAGGTCTTGTAAGTCATGCATGAGAACTCTCCAATACATAGTGGTATACACATGTAATGCAGGTAAAAGAAATGTTGAAAATCATTTATATCAAAACCATATACTACATATATAGCAATATATACAGCTATATACAAAGGTAAAAATGCTGAAAATGGTTTATACCAGGTAAAATAACTATTATAAATCAATGATTTTATTCAGTTACCTATACATAATTTACATGAAAAAATGTTGAAAATTGTTGATATGTGGACTATGTATTATAATACAAATACACAGCTATTTATATACATGTAAATACAAAAGTTTAAAGTCGTATATACAATGTAAGAGAACTCTATATTAAACGGTGGTATTCACACCTTTGTGTATACCACAGTGTTGTAGACAGGTACATATATTGTCATATGATAACTCTCCATTATAATATTAGCAGTATATAAATCTATACATAGTTGTTGAAGCACAATCAATAAAGACCAGAAATGTTTAAAGTTCTCCTCCTGCGAAAAACTAATACAAAATAAACAGTACCCGTTCAGCAGTGAGCTTATAAGGTTTTGTCAATAGTAAAACAAAATGTGTGAAATTAAAAACAGTATTGAATTTTTCATTTGATAAAAAAATCCTCTAGCACAATATTGACAAAACAATCATGGCCAGCTCCACAAACTTTGGCAAGACTTTGACAGTGAGCTGTAAACCGGTTTGCGGCAATCTTAGGATTATCTTTTAATTTCAAAATTTCTGCTGATTACGAATGTAATATTCAAAATGCTATCAGCTCATCATTCCCTCAAATATAAATATACAGTATTATTCTGTGAATCCATGTCATATTCTTGTGAACTTTTGAAATATGACCTATTGTACACATACTGTAATCAAAGTAAGGATTTGACATTTTTAAGAGACAGGATCAACTTCAAGTTGTAAATTATTTATGGACATAGAGGCAAGTTTGTCTGCGTCCATCATTTAACTGATCTTTACTTAAAAAAATACATAGAAAAGCATGTTTTTGCAATATTTGCAAAATTCTTATCATGTGATAAAATCATCTTAAAAGTCTTTTTCATTTTACAAGAAATTCATGAAACTGATCACAAATTTTTCATTTGTGCTCTCCAGAGGCTCGTTAAAAGAAAACTTTTCATAAATCTTGTATGAAATGGAAACTTGTGAATATCTTAGGTACATTGTAAGCATATCCAACGGAAACAGTAATAAGGTATCAGTGATTGAAGGACAGTACTATATATCACCTGGACCAATTTGAAATAATTATAAGCTGAGGTCATAATAACATTATAGGACAATTTGCTGCCAATATAAGAGAGAATAATGTCAGCTTTCAGCCTTGAAATGAAAATCTTTTTAGTACTTGCTCAACATGTTCACATGGCAATATTTTGTATCTATCATTATATGTATACACCTTAAATGTTTCCTTAAGCATAGATAATAAGATACATAACATGCACCTTTAAATTGAATGGACTACTGACCAAAGGACAAACATGTTGAGTGCTATGTCTGAGCTCATTCATACTGATAGCTAGTTATTTTTTTTTTAGTTATTATCATATTGGAAATCCAGCATTTAACAGTTTGGTTATAAAGTGTCACTGCACAAGGAAAGAAAATCAGTGTTGTAATTAAATACCTATATCATAACATGATGGTTGACCTTGTGTGGGATTCACACTAGAATCTCTGGGAGGTACAATAAACCCTACTCATTATCACCTTCTACTTGAACTTCTCACTATTGACGATCGGGAACTACAGCTGCTACAAAGGGACAGGGAGGGTATTAATATGATTTTTCTGTCTCAAAGAGGGGGCATGGGAGGGTATTAATGTGATTGTTCTGTCTCAAAGAGGGGGCGTGGGAGGGTATTAATGTGATTGTTCTGTCTCAAAGAGGGGGCGTGGGAGGGTATTAATGTGATTGT